AGTTGGGTCTAACTGGTTTTCCCTTCTACGGGAGCGTCCTAGGCCTAATCTTAAGAGTAGGACTGCCTATATCTAGTTATTAGATTTCCTAGTCCTAATTCTCTAATTTAACTTCCTTATTTTCTTCTCTTCCCTCTATACCTAACTTATTAAACTACGTAGGTAGCGCTTAGAAGATATACCTATTTTCCTATAGTGCCCTATGCTATAACTTTATAAGTCCTTAGTCTTCCTAGTTTACCTTATTCTAGCTTCTTTAGTAGAAGATCTTTATCCTCTAGCCTAGTATTATATATACAAACTTAGTTCTATCTAAATCTTTTAGCTAATACGTCCCTAACTCTAGAAAGCTCTACGCTACTAGGTATAGACCTAGCTATTTATTACTAAGTTTCCTATCTCTAGATATATCTATCTAGCAGACTAAATCCTATAGTAGTACTAATAAGCTAGGGCTAATTTCCTCTCTTTAAATTTCCTTATAGTTATCCTAATATTCTTTCTTCTATAAGCGCAGCCTTTTAATTCTTAACACTATATCTTTAAGAAACTAATCTCTTAGGATAACCTAGGTAGCCCTTACTACTAGTAGCTAAGCCCTATCTATTATCTACCTAAAGAGAAGCGTCTGCTATAATAGAAGAGCTAGTTTAATTAGGAGCACTAGGTTCTAACTAGTAACTAGCTAGTATACAGAGTATCTAGTATTTTCTTAAATAGATATTTAGTTAGCTAGGAGTACTATTAGTAGATTAGAGACCTAGCTCCCCTAGAGCTTTATAAGTGCGTTAACAATTAGTTTATGCCCTCCTTTAATTTTTCTATTAGCCTAAGGGTTATAAGTAGAGATCTAAACCCTACGTATGCTATAGATAGTAGCTAAATTATAAATAACCTTTTAGAAGTTAGGCCCCCTATTAACTATAATCCTTTGCGCTATACTCTATCTATATAGGATGTCTTTGTATATAAATTTAGCAAAAGTTTTTAATCTATTATTTAGTAATACTTATGCTTTAGGCTACCTGCTTAAATAGTCCTAGGCTATTACTAGGAATTATTTGCTAGAATTATAAGGCATCTAGACTACGTTAATAGCTACTATCTACTATAGCGCGTGGGAGTAGGTGTTTGTAAGCATGTTAACCTTCTTCTTACTACTTCTTTTCTAACACTTATAATATATATATAGAGTAAGCCTTACTATCTTATATATCCTTTCCTACTAATATTGCTAAGCTATTATTAAGTAGACACTATTTACCCTATAATAACTAATAAGGCGATGTATTTCCTATATAGCAGCAATCCTAATATCTTTATTATTAACTACTTATCTTACTACTATATTTTAAGATATCTTGTAGAAGAGGAACCTATCTCTTATAAAGAAGTTTAATACTTATTTCTTCTATACCCTTAACTCCTTCTATAGAACGTCTAGGATTTTAAACCTAACTAGAAACTAGGTAATTCCTTCTAATTTAGCGCTATATTTAGGACGTAGTACTTTATCCTTTATTAGATTATATAACTTAATATTAGTAATTATATGCTTAATAAAGTCTTTAATATTGTCTTTAGTTTTATCTAGGGGTTCCTATCTATCCTCTTTTAGATATTGTAATAGAGCATCTGTAACTATATTCTTCTTGCTAAGAATATATTAAATTTCAAACTCCTATACTAAAATAGTAGCAAGCCACCTATTTATTACTCCTCCTAGTATTTTGCTTAAGGACTAATTAAGCTAAGTAATTAAGGTTTAAGTGTCTATCTTAATAACAAATAGTATTCTATAGAGCTAAACTCTAAACTTTTTTAGGGCCTATAGCACTACTCTACACTCTAGCTTAGTAGAGTGCTACTTTGCTTTAGACTTTAACTATATAGTACTTTTAAACTAGTATAGATGTCGCCTTCTATCTAGCCCTATTTATTCTAGGGAAGCTCCTGCGCCTTCCCTACTAGCGTCTACTATAAGGTAGATAGTCCCTCTAGTCTTGTAATTAATAGTTATTAGGGCTAGTGCTGTAGTAATAAAATGCTTAAGCTCTTTTATTGCTACCCTCTATAGTTCTTCCTATATCTACCTAGTGTTGCCTTGCAGGAGTATAAATAATAGCTTTGCTTAGATAGCAAAGCTAGGAACCTATATCTAGTAGTAGACACAGATCCTAACAAATATCTAGACTTCCCTTATATTTCTACATTCTAGCTATTTTACAATCTTTTCTACCTTTATATAGTTAGGGTATCTTCCTTTAAAGCTAACCTTATAGCCTATAACGCTAAGATAAGCTATACCCTAATAACATTTCTTTCCTAAAAC